TCTTATAGATTATTATTTTAATTAATGAAATTTCTAAAGATGGGACAGTTTTAAATTCACCCCATCAAAATCAACAATTGAAACTTAGCTAAATTTATTGGTTTTTCTGAAATTAACAGCGTAATTGAATTATCGTAATATACAGGTGCCATATTGGAATTTCCGGAAGAGATCTGAAATTCTGCAAATTCCGAAATACGGAATTTCGTCGGTCCCGTGAGTGCCGAATTTTGGGTCCTATACTGTAATGTAAAAAAATCATTTAGATTAAAGTAATATAAATAATATAAATATAGTTATTTAAATTTTTTACCTAACGATGGCACCAACAGCCGATTGTAACATGTTGTTCTGAGCAGTTTGTCCAAAATATACAATAGCAGATTGCATTCTTGATTTTATTATAATTGTACATTTATTAATTTTAATTTATATTTTAATTTAAAACATTAGTAGTATTTATAAGGAATTAATGTTATATATTCACTTTTGCCGCTGAATCGTTATTATGGGTGCGGCGTTTACAACATGTGCGGCGTTTCTTCCATAAATTACGGTAAATGCAAGAGAAGGTAAGTTATTTTATCCTTATCCTTCATTGGTGACAACCGGACTAAAAAACAAATCAAACAAAAATGACAGGCGACGATGGAAATGAGAAGAGTAATCCTTCGACCCCGAGCATTGCCAGAGTTAGCATTAAGCAGGGTTCGTGATTTTTTTGATTTTTTAAAAAAAAAATCAAAAAAGTCAGATTTTTTTTTATTTAAATCAGATTTTTTTGATTTAAATCAGATTTTTTTTATTTTTATTCAAATACACTGTAAGAACTAAAATTTATGATTAAAAAAACTTTTTCAATGTTTAATCAAAATTAAATTAATATTAAAGCTATATTATAACAATATTTTAGAAGCTCTAACTTACTAAAATAATTTTTCATTATAATACATAGCTTTGAATGCATAGCAACCATTCTGAAATAAATGCATAGTTGAAATTTAAAGACTAGATGAAATAGAAAATTTAAAGAATACTTCAGGGGTCTGTCATATTAAAAAATCAACACAAATATGGTAAAAATATGGATTTATCGTTTCTTACGAGACACAAAAATAAAATTTTAAGAAAAAAGTATTTTGTCAAATTATTCTACCATTTTTCCTAAAGTTGAATTTGTGAAAGTACCGCTAAACGGTAGGAAATTTGGCTTGGATAGACCGCTGTATTATAACTATTAAATCTAAGTTTCAATTAGTAAACCATAATTTTAATTTAAAATTGTGATTTCTTTTCTTTTTTTTTTGGATTTTTAAAATGACAAAATAAATGTAACAGATTGTGTTTATAAATGTAGTCATTCATCCAGAAAATAAAAAAATATTTAATCTATACATTTTTATACTAAAATATTCATTTTTAATTCAATATCAAAATAGATAAGCTAAGCTAAAAAAAAAATTTTAAAAATTCTATGTACTCATTGGAATTCTTTTTCACCAAATTTCCTTATAGAAAATCAGATACTGTCAAAGATACTGTAAACATATTATGAGAAAAAATACCAATCAATAACCCTACTGCTTCAAATAGACTTTGAAGAGAAGAATGACACTATATCAGGAGAAAAATATCTGAATTCAGCCTTTTTTTTCTTTTTCTATTTTTGGCATATTAGGGTAATTTCTTTTTAATATAACCTCAAGCTTCAATAATATACATTTTCCACCAATAAAATAGAATGTAGATTTTAATTCCATGCTTTTTCATTCAAAAGGTGGAATTTTAATTAACATTATTTGCATTATTTTTTGAAAAAATCATGTTTATTAATTACTTTCTACAGCTATGCAAGTCTATATTAAGACAGCATTAAATGTTTACTTTAATCTGTACTTTCAATCTCAAGAATCAAAACATTTTTAAAAATGTAATTTCAAATAAGTTGGAATCTAACAAACACCAAGAAAGAAAGTAATTTCGTTAACTAAAATTAATTAATGCAGCAACTTATTTAAAATAAATTTTAAAAATAAGAAAACAAAATAATAGAAGTATCAATAATTTAAAACACTGTTTTTTAACACTTAAAATCAATATAAATATTTTTAAAAAAATGAATTGATTTAAATCAATGATTTTTTTAAAAAAATCATTTGATTCAAATCATGATTTAAATTGTGGTTTTAATCAAGCTGATTTAAATCAACAAACCCTGGCATTAAGCCTTCACCATTTTGGAAACTGTATCCAAATATATGGTTTTTGCAGTTAGAAGCACAATTCCAAAATGCTTCAATAACTCTTGATCAAACAAAATATGATTATGTCATAAGCACCATCGAAGCTGAAATATTATCACAAGTGTCGGATATATTGACGAATCCACTACAAAATGATAAATACACCGCAATTAAAGACAGGCTAATTGCTTTGTTCGCAAACACAGAAACTCGAAAGACTCAAAAGCTGTTAACCGAAGTTGATTTGGATGATAAAAAACCTTCTCAGCTATTATTTGAAAGGAAAAATTTGGCGACTAATAAAGTAACTGAACCGTTTCTTAAAACTCCCTTGCCTCAAAGATTGCCCTTAGAAATAAGACATTTTATCAATCAGACACGATGATTTGTCAAAATTGGCGACAATGGCCGATAAAATGTGGGAAATAAAATCAATATCGTTTCAAAGTGCTGCTGTTGCCTGTCAGAATAATGGCAATGTCATAGTTAAAATACGGGAGAAAATTTTGGAACTATCACTACAAGTTAACGAACTAAAAAAAGTCAGTACTACGATCAGCCACGATATAGATCCCGCTGAAGAAGTAATTCCCGTAATAGGCGTAGTAATTTCGAACACAGTATATATTATTATCACTCAAAGTTTGGCGACAAAGCTTTTAGATGCAATAAACCTTGCTATTGGCATAACAAGATGTATATACCAAGATTTAAGGATGGAATTATAAGGTAGTTTGCTGATGAAGAGGTTGAAAAATGGAATGATCCAAGGAAGCTACAACTCGAAACAAGAGAAAAAATCGAAAAAGAGCAAGAGAAAGTTAAAGCACATTCTGACGAAAAGAAATCTGGAACACTAGCGTTTGACAAGGGCGAAATCATTGTAGTCAGAAGACATCCATGAGCGACAGGGGACTCAATGAAAACTCAACCACTGTATCGAGGACCTATGGTTGTCACAGAAGTACTTCCTAGCAATACATATAGAATCTCTCAATTAGAGGCTAACGATGGTCACCTATATGCCACAACGGCTCATGTCAGTCAATTAAAAGCTTGGAGAAGCTGGAATGAAGATGATGATAATTTCAGAGAAGATTCTGATGAAGAACACAGAAAAGCAAATGCCCAAACGAACTGTACGTAGACCACTGCATTATAATGATTTTATAAACTGTTAGAAACTTATCAATAATTCATATTATTAGTCCAGTTAATTTTATTGTAATGTATTTTAAAGTTTAGTTCAATTGAGGTCAATTGAAAGGTCAGGATGGTTGAATGTAAGCACAATTGTAAATTACGAATGTCAACAGAGATTATTTAGTTCGAATGTAAGCGCCTTGGCCACCGTACGCGCACATATATTGTAAAAATGAAGAATGGCAACAGCAGTTATGTTTTAATTTCAGTTTCATTTTTTGTGATGTAAACATTATTATTTTGTAGAACCTAGATACAGAATGTATGTGAATGTAGTAAGTTACAAGTGTACTTATATTATCTATAAATATTGTTTTTGTTTTCTATAAAGACTTTATTAATGTTAATTCAACAACATATGAAGCCAATAAATAGAATACATGTTTTATAAGTAACTGCAATGCGTTTATTATTGTATCATTTTTTATTATATGATGTTTAGCACCATTAAAAAAATAGTTTTGCAAGCGCATAATGTTATATTTGAAATTTGCAACTAACTGGTAATAATACTGTTGCCTTAGGGAGTAACATTTGATAGCATACCTGCCAACATTGGAGAAATAAAATAAGAGAGATTTTACTGGCGATATTTTTTGGGCTATGAGTACAGTTTTGATACATCATGCATAATCATGTAAGTCAAAAAGAAAAATTCAAATGTGGAAATAATATAGGCACTTACATTTAACAAAGTAAAAAATATATGTACATAAATCTTAACCTAAAGAATATTTTTTCAAACCATTATTCATATTTACTTAAAATCTAAACACTCAACATCAAAATAATTTTCATAATTCTAAATAATTAGCTTTATTTAACAGAATTTTTCCATATTCATATTTCGAATGTAAGAAGTTGATTTGGCTGCTTCAAAATTCATTGGAAATGTTTATCAAAATTCTGTTCATAACAGTTACCAAAGAAATTACTTTTCATCAAAAGCTTGCTTTTGATGAAAAGTAATTTCTTTGGCGGGAGAGTCATAAAATAAAAGAGTCTTCCTCAAGAGGACGTCATACCGCGGAAGAAAATTTTGGCTGCAAATTATCTTTCTCCTAGATTACTAATTTAAAGTGTAGAAAAAGTGAGTTCTGGCAAACCTAGAGTAAGCCATCAAGCTTCAAATACTGAAAGGAAAATTTTAAAATATACGAATGAAAATAAATTGTGAGATGTTAACTTAAGATTATGGATCAGAGAAGTTCTCTAATAATTATTTGTTTGCATTTTAATATTTCAAAGTATTTTTTTCGGCAATTGAAACTTCAGCAATTTAGTAATGAAGGAGAAAGTGAATTTGTGACAAAAAAAAATTTCCGCAGCATGGCCTCCTCTTAAAAAACAGGAGACTTGGCAGGTATGTGATATAGATCTGACGTTTTTCTTAATATTTAAGTATGCATGTTTTTTGTTGTTTGTGAACTTAGAATTTAATAGGGTTACAATATTTGGTATATTACAAAAGTGGCTACCATGAAAAAAATTGCCACAAGCATCAAGGATAACAAATTAATAGCTCACAAGAAAGATAAGAACAATCAAACTCACCAGGTAGAAAGCTAATAAAATCTCTTTGTAACATTGGCCGTAAGAAAGAACTAACATGACTATGTTGATAATGTGTCATTTTAGACAATAATAATTCAACAAATTCTATTTGGTCCTGTTCTGTCCACTTTTCAAAATTTTTAACACAAATATCACATTCTTGAATATAATCTGGTTTTTTTTCTCTTGCCTTAAGAACAGACTCATACAAAGATGTTAAATGTGTTTGATAGCCAGGAGGTTCCTGAAAAATATATTAAAAAAATTATCTACATTAATGTCTTTTGATCCAATGATTAACCCTACAATGGTTAAAATTCCATATTTATAGCTAGTTATGAAAAGAAATTTCATTTTGAGATCTAAAAATTGCTAAATGTATAGTATAAAACTAAAAATTAAGCAAGTGATACATGGCATTACTTATGCAGTGCATGGCTACTAAACTAAACTGGCCAAAAGTATCCAGACACCCAGTGGTATGATTTTATGACACACATCTGGGAAGACTTTCTACCAGTTTTTGAACACCCATTTTGTCTGTCTCAATGCTTGAATGTAAGAGAACTGGGTTGAAATATTGAGTTGGGATTGTCCACATGCATCTTAAAATTCCTAACACAGGACAAACCACGAGAAACACACCACCATAACAACTGGGTGTCCAGATAGTTTATGATTCAAAGTTATGTATAAAGTAATTTTACTTTTATACTATTAACAAATGCTTTTAAATTGGAAATTTCTTTTAATCCCTCAAACAGGACCGGGATAGCCTGGTTGGTAGGGCACTGGGTTCGTGTCCAAGAGGTCGTGTATTCAATCTCCACCGACAAAGACTTCCCTTATACTAAATGGTGACTGATGCACATTAAATCTGCCGAGTCACAAAGTCCTCTATGTTCCCATAACAAATCATACCTCTGGGGGTACTGATCCACGAGTTTCCTTATCTTCGGGATTGGTTCAAAATTACAAAATTATTAGTAGCCGCAAACCTAAAATTGGGTCGGCAGTTCAACAGCAGTTATAATAAAATATAAAATCCCTCAAACAGGGAAATCTTGTGCTCTTTCACAAGCCAAAGAGCTAAACAAAGTGAAAAATTACAGACCTATATTACCAGTTATCAGAATTACAGCACTACAAATAGTGAAACTCCAGTAATTGATACTTTACAGGGTTGCAAAAAAGCTTTCTAAAAGGGGCCAGGCCGAACAGTTTTATTATTTTTTTTATTAAAAAGACTGTTTTTTATTTAAAATAAGATTCTGACTATTGAGACAAATAAAACATTGATGACTATTCAATAAAAATAAGTAAATTATGTTATATTATGTATCAGATGCCTGTACAGCAAAATGGGATAATAAGTGATGAAAACAATCAATACTAAAATAGGGTTCCCATTTAATTTTTTAAAAAAATTTTCTGACTCTGCAAAGTATTTCAGGAAAGTAAATCCATATCATCATTTATTTGCACAGTGCAAATTTTGATCAGAAAACTTTGATTTTTTTTTTATTTGTAATATTATTTGTCAAGTATTAGATTTTGTAAGAGCCGGCCTGGTGGCCGAGCGGTTAGCGTGCCTGACTGCGAAGCCATAGGCTGCGGGTTCGAATCCCGCTCTGGGCATGGATGTTTCTCTCTCTCTTTGTGCTGTCCTCTGTTGTGTGTGTATGTGCGAATGTGGCCCACCCTATAAACGGGTTTGTGGCAGTGTGGCGTGGGCAATGATGCGCGCCTCCATGACTTTGGTTCACAGGTGCCCACTGGGTAACGCGAAATGAGCAACAATTCTGGCATAGTATAGGCAAAGATTCAAATTCAGTGCCTGCCATTGG